CACCGGCCACTCAACTTCCTCGGTTGTCCATGCCTTCCTGGGCGCCGGTCACTCGGTCAATCCGGCTTTGGCCATCCTCGGACCGGGCACCCTGGTCCGACCGAGCACTGCCTTACCGAGCAGTTTCTGTCCGGTCCGGGGTGACACTCAGCCCGTACTCTGCCCGGCCCAAATTCTGGCAGCCCACTTTGGGTAAAAAGTCGATCGTCTCGGACCTGTGCACCGTTGGGCCCTCAACTTGCTCGGTCTATATCTCGGCCCAACTCCAGATCATAAATTACCCTATACTAAATCAATCAGTAACTCCAGCAACTTAAAGTTCTCTTGTCAATTTACTAGTATAAACTTTTTAATATTTTAATGCTATAACCAGACAAATTCCTAGGAAAAGTAATTTGCAAATAAAATTTATGTACAAAAAATGTCCACCAGAATTATGTGTCAATGTCAATTTTGATATAACAAATTACTTTCATGTGGTCTTCAGAACTTCTCTAATGCAATATTAGCAATATCTGCAGAAAAATGAACTCCAATGCAATTGTTAAATTTTGACAATGTTATAAAATGTGTCAAATTTGACACAAAGTTTAATAGATTGTTAAATGTGCCAGCTCACCAACAAAGAAGAACGCGGAAACCTCTCCCATGCCTAAGTCAGCAAACTTGACAAATAGACAAAGCTCAATGTGTTCAGAAAGCTAAGTTTTGTATTGTGTTACCTCCTCCAATGTGATATTTGTGAGTTTTTATAGGTTTTGAGTGGCACAATCCTAGTAGGACTTTTATTCCTCTATGCAGAGTCCTCCTAGGATTCATACTCCTAAAGGATAATGCTTATCCTTTTACACCCCCACTGCTTAAACCAAGTGGGATGGTTTTTACCATGGCCGAACTACCATTTGACCGAAGTACCCACGGCTACGCATAGCCGCAGAATAAGCCAAACTATCATTGGTTCGGTTCTGTCTCTTGTTACACATTATCTCGATTCTCCCTTGTATGAACCATGGTGTGTTGGGACCGAGCTACCGAGTAGCAAGGTCCTGACCGATCTATCCAGAATACGTCACGACCGGACTAACTCGGAGACCGGACTAACTCCAAGCTGTCCAGACCGAAGTAACTTAACAACTTTCCCTGGCCGGAGTAACTTTATCACTCTTGGGCCGGGGTAACTTTATCTCATATTGGGCCGGAGTAACTTGTCGGCCTTTTTACCCAGTCCTTCATACTTTGGGCCATAAAGTCTATCTCATAGCTCGGCCCAATTTTCATCAAAAATTACCCTCTCAGTGTCAATGTCAATTTTGTTATAACAAATTACTTTCATGTGGTCTTCATAACTTCTCTAATGCAATATTAGCAATATCTGCAGAAAAATGAACTCCAATGCAAAGTGTGTCAAATTTGACACAAAGTTTAATAGATTGTTAAATGTGCCAGCTCACTAACAAAGAAGAATGGATTGTTTATGAAACTTTTCTCTTTTTTTTTTTTTTTTTTTTTTTTTTTTTTTTTTTTTTTTTTTTTTTGGTGTTGAAGTGATTAAAATGTGAGACTCTTGGTGATGTTAAATTGTAAGACTTTTATTTATTTAATTATTTTGTGTTAATGGGATTAAAACGTGAGGCCGTAGGTGATCTTAAATTGTGTTACTTTATTTTGACAAAAAGGGTTAGAAAAATGATAATTAGAAGAAAAAAAAATGAAGAGAGAAAATGTGAAATAACATATGTGTGTTAAGAGTAAAATTGCTAAAATTTAAGGTAGCGTTTGGTAGAGTTTTGTAAATGTGATTTGAGAGTATGAGTTGTATTTTGAGTTTGTGTGTTGTGAAGTTATGATTTGAGTGTAGAAAATTTATTTGGTAAAGAGTTTTGAAAAGAATTTTGATTTGAGTGGGGAATTGTTGATGTGACATTTGATATGTGATACAAAAATTTACAACTCATAACTAAACATACAACTCAAAATTATTTTAAAGTACATAAAAATTTTAAAAATTTCAGAAAATATTTTTTTCGATTATATAAATCAATTGCAAAAAAAAAAAGAAAATCATTATTCCGGTCAACCGACCGAATGACCGGTCGGACGTCCCGTCAGGAAAAATTTTCAAAAAAAAAAAGAAAAGCGCGTCTATCAAAACAAAAAACCTCAGATGTTCTGTGCAGAGTTTTGGAATCATCATTTGAGAACACTAACCAAACACCGTACTTGAATTAAGGAGTGAAATCATGATTTGAATTCACAACCAAACAAAGCCTAATATTTTTACACTATAGCAACGTCAAAATTTAGCAATAATGTGTAATTATAATGTGGTTTTTTGATCCATTTATTTTTTTAATTATAGTGTCAAAATTTAGCAATAATGTGTAATTATAATCTGGTTTTTTAATCCATTTCTTTTTTTAATTTTTTTTTTCTTGGACCTCGTCATCAAGCAGCTTCGAAAATAAAATGTAACAAAAAAATTGGAAACGCCGTTGCCGGGGATCGAACCCGGGTCACCCGCGTGACAGGCGGGAATACTTACCACTATACTACAACGACATTGTTGAGACAACCATTTTACATTTTTATATTTATTATAAATAATCCTAGAGTCTACATAAAGGAAACCAATGATTATGTATAAAATAAAGAAAAGGGCATGAGATATTCAGACATTTTCTCAACATTAAGGACAATCACTAAAAACCAAAACCTCATTAAATTTCTTAACACACACACACACATATATATATATATATATATATTTTTTTTTTTTTGTCTGAAATGCTGAGCTAGATTTGTGTGATCGTGTATATTAGAGGAACATGGCCTGTCTATATGCAGAATTGTTTTAGAAAATTAATCAAGGATTAGTATTTTTTGTTTTAAAAAAAAAAATTGAAGAAAAATTACAATGGAGGTGTCTAAATAGAGAAAGTCTCCTCTATATGAAAATTTGAATACTCTGAGTAAAGTACTAGAGTTATAATCAACTATGCCGATCATCAGTTAGATAGAATTTCAAATTAATATTAATTAGCCTTGGTGTTAGTATGATTTCTCTGTTTCAATTTGTTTTGATTGTTTTTGATTGGCCTCTCACCAATTTTGAGTTTGTGCTAGCATATGATTGAGCTAGCTCTCCGGTGTCAACTTCGTTCGGATTGTTGAGTTTAGTTATGATGCTCGTTGCACTGCCTTTTTACTGATGTGTAAGATTTCATTTGTATTTGAGTTTTGATTTGAGTAGGGAATTGTTGATGTGACATTTGATATGTGATACAAAAATTTACAGCTCATAACTAAACATACAACTCAAAATTATTTTGAAGTACATAAAAAATTTTAAAAATTTCAGAAAATATTTTTTTTTGATTATATAAATCAATTTATTTTTTTCGATTATATAAATCAATTGCAAAAAAAAAAAAAATCACTATTTCGGTCAACCGGTCAGACGACCGGTCAGGAAAAATTTTAAAAAAAGAAAAGAAAAACGCGTCTGTCAAAACAGGTTTTGGAATCATCGTTTGAGAACACTAACCAAACACCGTACTTGAAAATAAGGAGTGCAATCATGATTTGAATTCACAACCAAACAGAGCCTAATATTTTTACAGTATAAGGGTTGGTTTGGGGTGTACTAAAAAAGTGCACTTTTTGTCTTTTTACGAAAAGATGTGCAGAAAAATAGAGAGGTGATGTGATGGAAAAAAGATAAAAAGATGGATTATATAGTAGATGACAAACAAGGCTTTAGCAATAAATGTGTAATTATAGTCTGGTTTTTTCAATCCATTTCTTTTTTTAATTTTTTTTTTCTTGGACCTCGTCATCAAGCAGCTTCGAAAATAAAATGTAACGAAAAAAATGGAAACGCCGTTGCCGGGGATCGAACCCGGGTCACCCGCGTGACAGGCGGGAATACTTACCACTATACTACAACGACATTGTTGATACAACTTAGTTTACATTTTTATATTTATTATAAATAATCCTAGAGTCTACATAAAGCAAACCAATGATTATGTATAAAATAAAGAAAAAGGCATGAGATATTCTGACATTTTCTCACCATTAAGGACAATCACTAAAAACCAAAATCTCATTAAATTTCTAAACACACACACACATATATATATATATATATATATTGTCTGAAATGCGGAGCTAGATTTGTGTGATCGTGTATATTAGAGGAACATGGCCTGTCTATATGCAGAACTGTTTTGGAAAATTAATCAACGATTAGTATTTAAAAAAAACAAAAAATCGAAGAAAAATTACAATGGAGGTGTCTAAATAGAGAAAGTCTCCTCTGTGTGAAAATTTGAGTACACTGAGTAAAGTACTAGAGTTATAATCAGCTATGCCGATCATCAGTTCGTTAGAATTTCAAATTAATATTAATTAGCCTTGGTGTTAGTATGATTACTCTGTTTCAATTTGTTTTGGTTGTTTTGATTGGTCTCTCACCAATTTTGGGTTTGTGCTAGCACATGATTGAGCTAGCTCTCTGGTGCCAACCTCGTTGGGATTGTTGAATTTAGTTATGATGTTCGTTGCACTGTCTTTTTATTGATGTAAGATTTCACTTATATTTCTTTCTTCATCAATAAAGCTTTCTTTTGCTGATAAAAAAAAAAAATGCACCTTATGACTAAAAAGAAAATAACATAATTTCAATTTTTTAAGTTATAACTAAAAAAAAAGAAAAAAAAATATCATAACTAAAGACAACATGAAGCATAATTAAAGAACTCATGAGTCATAACTAAAGAAAAAATTAGTCATAATTAAAGAAGAAAATGGTATAATTAGGAATGTATATGGTACACCCTTTCTAAAGGGATGTATATTAGAATTTTCTATGGGATTATGCATTAAATCCCTTAATTTTTTCCTATTTCAAATTGGATAAAGTTTTCTGAATGAATTTTCTATGCAAAAAGCTTTGTTAGCTAATGTTAATTGTACCATTGTGCCAGAGTCTAGGTTCCTAAATTATTCTGGAATTGCAAGAGAGTCCATTATTTGCCTTCAACATTAACTGTTTTTATAGCTTGCAAACTTTATTTATTTATTCCCGGAAAAAAGCTAACAAAGACCATAATTGGAAACAAACACAACCGAAAAAAGAAGCCTAACTGAAGTCAAGTCATGGCTTGTGAGGATGGAGGTGAACTGGAAGCCCTTGAGTCGGCCTTGGAAGTGGATCGATCACAACTTTCTCATTAGGAATCACTTTCTTCCACCTGAACTTGGTCACCATATTATGCATGAAAACAAGCATCACTAATCGCGCATACTCGTTTCCAGGACACATCCGGGGTCCCCCTCCAAACGGAACAAAAGTAAAAGGAGGCGGTCCATTTCCTTCAAACCTTGACGGGTCAAATGTCTCTGGATTTGGAAAGTACTCCGGGTTTTTGTGTGTTGTTTGAGCAATCAAATGTAACTACAAAAAACAACATTTGTGAAGAGAATGTTCATAGTATTCAACAACCTTTGTATATCAAAACTCGGATTATATGTAGCTTTTGTTACCTTCCATCCTTTTGGAATCATATATCCAGCATAGGTGAAGTCAGTTATGGCCTCTCTGAATGTTCCAAACGATGGCGGCCTTAACCTGAGTACTTCATTCGCAACATTCCATGAGTACTTCATCTTCTTTATGTCTTTCCAATTCAATAAATCTTCTGGTTCTTTTGACTCTGCTATACCCATTTGCTCTTTTTTTCACAAGTACATGCACCAAAAGTTAATACGTAATGTAATAGCATCAATTCAAATTTTGTTATAAAGTTTCCATCAAATATTATGACCAAAATGTACACGTCACATATTTTGGAATTAAATGTATAGTTTTTAGGGTAAATTATACTTTGCCCCCTTTTTGTTTGACTCATTTTTCACTTTGGCCCTTAAAGGATTTTTTTTTTTTTTTTTTCACTTTGGCCCTTTATGTTACAAGTTTTTCTTAGTTTACTTTTAAAACTAACTTCGGTTAAAAATTAGACAAAAAATGACACATTGACAGTCACTTGATATAAATTTTTTTTATTATATATAATTCAGTTTCTGATACCAACTCAAATCTCAATATAATAATATATTTTTTTATGTTATGTGAGAGTTATCGTGGTATTTTCTATCTAGTTTTAAACAAAAGTTAACTTTAGGAGTATAGGGAAAATTTTAAAATATGAAAGGCCAAAGTGGAAAAAAAATAAATTTTAAAGGCCAAAGTAAAAAAGTAAATTTTAAGGGTCAAAGTAAAAAAGTGACCAAACATAAAGTGAATAAAGTGTAATTTATCCTAGTTTTTAAGTGATTTTTTATTTTTACCCCTAGCTTTAGCAGTGTCTACTAATAGAGTTAAGTTTAGAAACACAATCACCAAACACAGAATGAGGCACATATGTCTCACATAGGATGTGGCTTATATGTGAGACCCACCTCATGTGAGAGGTATGTGTCCCATTTTATGTTTGGTGGTTGTCTATTGTTAAAAATATAGTTAAACCATTTTTGGAAATTTAGAAGGTTAATGTTATAAAATCTATGGGCAATTTTATTTGCACATCACTTTTTATGTCAATACACACCATTTATATGGTTCGAATATCAACTTTCAAAAAAAAAGAAAAAAAAAGATTAGGTATCAACTTTCAAACAAAAATTAATTGTTTGTATATCAATTATTGAAAAAAATTTATGTTCGGACAATTGATTTTTATTTAAAAATTGATATCTGAACAACATAATGATGTGTATAGAAATAAAATATGAATACAATTACCAAAAATATATTACAGCTACATGAAGTTGCAGAATTTTGGGATTAATGTCATATGCTTACCTCTTAGGACTTCATTGTACACATCCGGAAGCTCTGCAAGATACATCACAATGAATGTAAGTGCAACATTGAGTGTGTGAGTAGCAGCATGTAGCAAGCCTACAATATGACTGGCAATGTCAAATTCAGTCATGAACCGATCGTTCTCGTCGTTCGCTAAGAGCATGTGTGACAACAAATCTTGTGCTGCCAATGATCTATTCTCTGTCAGATCGATTTTCCTTTGCTGAATCATCGCTTCAAGCTCTCTCCGCATGATCTTTGATGCTTTTATGGCCCGGTTAAAAGCTGTCCCTGGTACATTAATTGCCATTGACACAATCCCAGCTGTTATGTACCCGAAAGACTTGCCAAGTTCTTCGACTCTTTCAAGATCTTCGATGCTCAAAAACAATCGACACGCCAACATGAACGTGTACTTGGTAACAGCAGGCGAAACTTTAACTTCTCTGCAATTCCAATCCATGTCCAAATGTTGTTTCATTAGCATATCCATCACGCCAACGTGTTTTTGAAGCGCGTCTGCTTTGAGGAAAGGTTGGAGAATTTTGCGCACTTTTGTGGAGTCCTCCTTCATGTAATCAGCACTGGACTTGGGGAATATTTTGCTGATGGCTTTCGGCCACCATAGTTGGACTAGCTTGGTTTCACTAGAGAAGAGGAATTTGTTGCCCTCAACACCACAGAAGATCGCCATGGGCTCTCCCAACAACGATGTCTTGAAGACTTTAGTGGAGTATCGGTCCCTCCTATCCGCCACAAACTTTTCAGGAATACAATTTCTCAGCTTGAGAAAATAATCCAAACTTTCACCTATCAGAGGCCAACCTGTTCTTCCCGGTGGGAGAGGAAAATTTTCACTGGAGATGTTCTCATTGGCTCTTCGGGGTGTATGTCCGCTAATGAGATAGCTGAGAGACAGATAGACAAAGAGAATAACACAAAAAATAACAGATAGGAGGAAGAAAAATTCCATTAATACCAGTTGTTGCTTATGCTGGCAAGGTCACTTTAAACTAGCAAAGCTGCAAATGGCCGGTGTTTCAAAGAATTGCAGAATCCCAAGAAAAGTTGGATCAAAAGTTGTCTTCCTTGGAAGATTTCGAACAAAAAATCATTCTGGCACATAATGAACTCCTACAGATGGCATACTCAGCCTCGACTTTCACAACCACCTGCTCTTAAAAGAAAGTCGAATTAAAAAGCTTGAAATCCCAACTTTTCAATCCATCTAAAGGCAAAAACAGACGAAAAGGTTAACAGTTGTGAAGGGATGGTTATAGAATGAAGAAAAGTCAATAGAGTTATTAGTACACAAACCAAAATACTAAAACAATGTCAAGTTGAAATATTCCATTCCTTATTGACTCTAAAAGAGCACAAATTCACATGTAAATGAATATATTAAAACTAACACATGGTGGATCTGAGGAATGGAAGAAGCAGAACAAAGAAGAATAATCACTTATGCTAATGACATCAGGGTGATCTGTGAAAAGAAGGAAAAAGACAGAAAAATAGAGAAGAAAAAAATATAGCAGTCATAGCCCTTTTGTAGAGCTGTGGAAAAGTGATTATAGATTATAACTTAACAGATTATGACTTATAACTGTGAACATAAGTTGTTAACCTGTTTAGTGTAGTTGTGAGATTATGGACTTAAGCAGTAGAGTAGTATTTGGTTAATAAGTTGTAAAATAGTTTTTTACTGTATAATTGTCCTTTCTACCCTTATATGATATAAAAATGATTATTTTGTCATTTTTTTCAGTTTTAATTTTCATTAATAAAAGTTAATATAATTAGTATTAATTAGTATCAATTAATATAAAAATTGATACATTTGCTAAAAATGAATGGAAGTATTATTGTCACAATTATTTTCCATTATAAATTAATTAGTATTAATTAATTACTTAATTGGTATCAATTAATTAATTACTTAATTAGTATCAATTAATACTAAAATTATTAATTAGTATTAATTAATGGCTTAATTAGTCTCAATTAATACTAAAATTATTAATTAGTATAAATTAATATTAATATTTAATTTTTATTAGTATCAATTAATATTAATAATCAACAATTGTTATTAATTAGTATCAATTAATAATTAATTCATTACAAAAGTATACAATATTAATTTATTAATAATTAATACCAATGTATAAATTAATATTAATAATCAACAATTTTTATTAATTAGTATCAATTAATAATTAATTCATTACAAAAGTATACAATATTAATTTATTAATAATTAATATCAATTAATATTAATTTTTTTAATTAATATTGATTTTTTTTCTTTTTCTTCATAAATATACAATCTTTTATTTTTTAATTAATATAAAAATATACAATATGAAATTATTAATAATTAATACCAATTAATTTTTCAATTAATATTGATTTTTTTTCTTTTTCTTCAGAAATATACAATTTTTTATTTTTTAATTAATACTAATATTAATATTTGAGTATTGACGAGGGCATTTAAGTAATTTTAGCCCCCACACAAGCTGTGCGCTTAAATAAAAAATTTAAGCATCCCTGACCAGCTTTTGAGATAAACGGAGAAATAGTTTGATTTAAACTATAAGCTGGTTAACTTAAGTTGCATCAAACACAATATTTTAATTTAAATTAAACTAAAAACTAAAACAAGTAATTTATAAATTCTACCAAATAAGCCTATAATAAACCATGGTGTAACATGTGGCCTAATCATTTAGTAATGTAGATCAATTGCCAGATGGGCTCATATAGATATCAGATGTGTTAAAGAAATCTTTTAATTCCTAGTTCATGTTTTTCTTGACTCTTTCTCCAACCTTACTTTTGCCTGTTTTCTTTTGTTATTTAATTGACGCCAATAGTCAGAGGTCAGATCTGTCCCCATCTGTGTTTTTTTTTTTTTTTTTTTTAACTTAAAAAAATTGATATGATCTAAACTCTTAGTTAATTTAAGAGAAAAAGAGGAGAAAAAATCCGTTCATTTTTTACAGAGTCGAGTTCCACCATCAGATATCTCAATTCATAAACTGTATAAATGAGCAAGGTAACTTACTTGGCTAAATTGTGGGATTTCAATATAGAAATCTAAATCTCAAAATTCCGATTCAAACAAAAAATAATAATAATAATAGTTGCGAACTTGAAATTATTGAGGGATTTCAATAGAAATCTAAATCTCGTGATCTCAATTTAAATAAAAAATAATAATAATAGCTAAATTATTGAGGAAGATAATTTAAGTGGTAGACTCTTTTTGGTGGTTATTTGATGTAGGATAAGATTTTAAGAATTTTTATATTTTTAGTTTTAATATTTTTGATATATTATTTTGTTAGAATTCTAGTAATTTAATATAAATATTTTAGAATTATTGGGTTTCTTAATTTTATTATTTTGAAATTAGATTTTGATTAGGATTTTAAATAGTTTAAAATGTTAGTTTCCTATTGTGTTAAGGTTTTCTAATTTGTGTTGATTTAAGTTTTCTAATTTATTTTAGAATTACTTTTCCTACATGTATTAGATTTAGTTTATTATAAATAGTTATGTAAGTCTCATGGCAAATACAACTTTTATAAATTCAATCAATAATATTAAGATATTTTCTCTTCCTTGTGGATTCAATGTTCTATTTTTCTCGTAGATTTGAGAGCCCCTTTCGCCTAATAGAACGATATCTAGTCTCATGTGATTTATTCTACCGCGTCAAGTGGTATCAGAGCAAGGTTTCTTCTGGTTCGATGTCATTCATCGAAAGAGGAAGCACAAGCTCTATTGACGATGATCGTAGAGAAAGATCTAATAGGATTCGAGTCAAGGGACTTGCCTAAGGCCAACCTGTTAGTCACAACATTAATAGAAACCCCGCTATGGGATTTGCCCAAGGCTAGCCTATTAACCACAATGTCTTGAGACGATCTTTTTGTTATCAATATGATAGTGAAGGCGAATTTGAAGATGAGTTATTCGAGAATTATGGTGAATACTAGTCGGTAAGACGACAACGAAGATTTAGTAATTTGTTCAATAGCAATAATTGCATCAATCATGACTTTTTAGATTATCAAGTACCATTAGAAATTTCCTATTTTAATGCTTCTTGTCATGCCAAAAATTTTATTTATTGGTTTCGCAAAGTTGACAAATTCCTTGAGTGTATGGAAATCTCTGAACAAAAGCAAACCAAATATGTCGCACGTAAGTTACAAAGTTATGTTTCTACTGTAAACATAAAATTTCAGAACATAAACCTTACACTTTGGATCATTTACCATGTGTATTATCAAGAGATCAAGACAAAATGACATACCTGAATCCATTGATGAACGGTTAAACGGAAGCGTCTGATTGTCAATAAAACCTTAATATTGACTTTGTTAGAGCCTTCTAATCCTTTCCCTTATGTGCCTTATGTTTCTCCTTGAGAGGATTTAGAAAAACAAAACAGTGTTCTTATCTTTCACCTTAGGAAGGAATAGGGACCATAACCTTTTAAAGGTTGTAATTGGTTTTCATAATTGAAAGGTAATGAAAACCAATAAATTAATCATTATTGGTTTTAAAACTGAAAGGTAATGAAAACCAATAAATTAACCATTATTGGTTTTAAAACTGAAAGGTAATGAAAACCAACTTTAACCAATATGTTTTAATTTCTATTTCTGCCCCTCATAGAAATAGAAATTATACAACTAGTATCTACACATTAGGTCCAGAACGCATATACCCTTAAGCCTATTAACTAAATTGAATCACTTAAATTGTAGGCTTCTTATAAATGATAACACCACATTTAATTATGTGGTCCCATTGAGACATTATCTAACATCTACATGGTGGAAATAATTACAATATGATCGAAGACGACAATACAAACAACCCATTAGGACGTGGTATAAGATGAAGAAGTTGATAAGTTCTAGATTCCTTCAATCAAATCATGGGCAAATGTTATATCAATAATATCAAAGAAAGCTTGAATCGAAACAATTGTTCCAAGGTAATTCTGATTCACAATATTCTTCATAACTTAATAATTATTATGCAATTGTGGTGCAGCTTATTCGAGAAACATGACTATAGCTCTATCAAGTTTGGGTCAATCAAGTCTTATAGGTCAACGAATATGTCATGCCTCACCATGCATTGAAGAAGAAAAAATTTTGAGTATCACAATGTTTCAAAATTTTGAAGACCCAAACAGACATTCAATTGAAACAGAAAATCAAGTTGATCTCAACAATGGTGAGAATATTGAAATTGATGAAAGAGAGGTCATTGAAATTACTTTGATCAAGAAGTTTAAAGAAGGTGATGAAGAGATGAAGCAAGAGAAAAACGTTGAAGTTAGCTAAGAGTTTCTAATGATCAAACTATTATCTCTTGATTATTATGATGGTTATGAGATCGCAAAATGAGATCAAGTTGAATTCAATGAAAAAGAAAAAATAAAAGATGAGGTAATAAAGTTGATATGTGTACCGGAGAAGTTGATTGAGGATGCAATTGATGTTCCAAGATTGATAATTGAATGTCCAACTGGATATAAGATAGAGCAAAATCCAGAGAGTATTCAACATTAACATAAAATATACTTCATTAATTTTCTTGGTGTGGAGCAATTCAATTTGATTTTTAATGCCTGTCTAGTTGATTTTGTCAACCAGTTGAAGTATATAGAGAAGAACTTTCAAAAAATAAAATTTTCTACGTACAACTTTTGGAAGAGAGACAAGCAACTGAAATATTCAAAATATCTCTTTATTTGGTATGGAAGATGGCAGATCTCTAAAATGAACTTGAGGACGAGTACTTTCGAAGAAGAGGAGCCCGATGTAGGACAAGATTTCAAGAATTTTTATATTTTTAGTTTTAATATTTTTAATATATTATTTTATTAGGATTCTTGTAATTTAGTATAAATATTTTAGAATTATTAGGTTTCTTAATTTTATTATTTTGAAATTAGATTTTGATTAGGATTTTAAATAGTTTAAAATTTTAGTTTCCTATTGTCTTAGGTTTCCTAATTTGTGTTGATTTAAGTTTCCTAATTTATTTTAGAATTACTTTTCTTACAAGTATTAGATTTAGTTTATTATAAATAGCTATATAAGTCTCATGGCAAAGACAACTTTTATAAATTTAATCAATAATATTAAGATATTTTCTTTTCCTTGTGGATTCAAGGTTCTATTTTTCTCGTGGATTCGAGAGCCCCTTTCGTCTATTAGAACAATATCTAGTCCCCATATATTCTGTTACGTCATTATAGTTTTCCACTCCAAGACTCTACTCTTGTTTCTCTCGTACACTGATGGAAAAA